CTGCAAACCCCTCGCCGTATGAGCGCTCACCTTTGACGCACTCCTCTCCGCGTCGTCGCCCTGGCTCGGTCAGGATCCGGGAGTCCTCCACCCCCCTCGTAGTGACCATCTCCGTGCACACACGAGGACTCACACAGGTGAGAAACCTTACAAGTGCCAGACTTGCGGCAAAGGATTCACTCAAAGCTTCTCGCATCGCAGACATCTGAAGACTCACACAGGTGGAAAACCTTACGTATGCAAGACTTGCGACAAAGGTTTCACTGAGAGTGCCAACCTCCACGCGCACATGAGAATTCACACATCTGTGTTACCTTTCAAGTGTCAGACATGCGGTGAAAGATTTATTCAAAGAACGAAACTCCTCTCACACTTGTGGAATCACCTCAGGACTCGCACGAGTGAGAATCCGTACAAAGTACCAGGCATGTGGTAAAGGGTTTACTCACAGAGCTGCTAAGCCATATAATTGTGAGACTTTTCGGGCAGCTTGCTCCACGGCGTTTTCTCTAAAAAGACACATGAGAGAACACCAGTGATAACCCCTCGACTACCATACTACTGTATTTGCAAAGGCTTCCCTCATGGTGCCCATTTTTGCAGTCATATACACTGCTCAGATATTTTGCATACGATAGCTACTGGTCCTGCCTCACTGCCTTAAAAGAAAGTGTTTCGCGGGCACATGAATAGTTGCCATATGAAATGTAATTGAAATGAAATGTAATAGGAATGCAATGTAATAGGAATGAAACGAAAAAGGAATGAAATGTAATAGTCAAGCCCGACACCGAATTATTTCATGTATTTCTGAGTTATTTAAAGTCGAGGTTTTAATTGTTTCCTTTTAATCTCTGTAGTCTGTTTTTCTTTTTAAATTACTTTTACTTTGTATTTTTTAGAATTTTGTGATTTATTTTCCTCTTTTGATTTTGCCGTCGCCGCTTTGGCTTGATTGTTGTTTCATTTGCACTACGTGTAGTTTACCCAACAATAAATCTGAAGAAAAACAAAAAACTTGAACTGCTTGAATTTCTGTGTTGCCATGTGCACGCTAGGCCCAAACCAAGTCTAAGTTTACGATAGAGCCGCGATGGTAAGGTTTTCGTTGTACGGCGGAATACACAGGCTGCCTTGTGCCTCCCCCGACCGGCCCCAAGTTGCCGCGCGCGCGGCACTATGGATCTCCGTCCGATACGTTGTTCTCCGTTGCGATCGGCGCTCCACTGCCGAATCCAGTGTTGCGATTTAAGTTAGGCAAAAATTCACACCAATACACCTATGTGGAGCGGTCGGTAATGCGTGTGTGTAAATATTGCCT